TGAATCTGACTATGATGAGGAGCAGTATCCTCCTGCTGATGAAAAATACAAACAACTGGAAGACCGTTTGAATGCAATGGAGGTTCGGAAGGTACCAGGTATGGATTTTGAAGAGCTGGGTTTGGTTTATGGGGTCGTCATCCCGCAAAAGTTCAAGGTGCCGGTGTTCGCCAAATATGATGGGGTTTCATGTCCCAAGATGCACCTTCGATCTTATGTGAGGAAGATGCAGCCTCACACTGTTGACAAGGACTTATGGGTCCACTTCTTTCAAGACAGTCTGCCAGAAACTCAACTAGAATGGTTCTACCAGCTGGAAAGGGCCAACATTTGTAATTGGGAAGACCTGGCTGCTTCTTTCTACAAGCAGTATCAGTATAACACAGACCTTGCTCCCACCCGTACACAACTCCAAAGTATGTCTATGGATTCAAGCGAGGGCTTTAAAGACTATGCTCAGAAGTGGAGGGACTTAGCAGGAAGAGTCCAACCTCCCCTGTCTGATAGGGAGTTGGTGGATATATTTCTAGGTACCCTATCTGGACCATTCTTCAATCATCTGATCGGAAGCTCCTCAGTCGGCTTTACCGAATTGATCTTGACGGGAGAAAGAGTGGAAGCTGGAATTAGGAGTGGTAAGATCCAGAAGGATGCATCCTCCAGTACAGTAAGGAAGCCATTTTCTGGGAAAAAAGAGGTCAGTGTTGTTTACAATCAAAGGAATCAGGACAGAACTGAACGTCGTTCGACGGTAGGGGTTGTTATAATCTCTAAACCTGCACCTATTCAACAAAGGAACAATCAGCCTAGAACAGAAACACCGGTAAGATAGTTTACCCGGATAAATATGACGCTATCTCAAGTCTTGCCACATTTTTTGAAATCTAATCTGGTAACCTTGCGGGAAGCTCCGAAGAATCCCAACACCGCCTGTCCTAGCTATAACTCTAATGCTCGCTGTGCTTACCATTCAGAAAGTCTACGCCATGATACCAACAACTACTGGGCTTTGAAAAACAAGGTTCAAGACCTTCTCGAGGCGAAGGAAATTGAATTTGACGCCCCTGAGATCCCCAATGTTATCACTGCTCCTATGCCCAAGCACGGCCGTGGTGTTAATGCTATTGAAGATGATATGTCCCTTACTTTTGTTGAGGAACTTGTTACTCCTCTCATGACCGTTAAGTGAAACTTGTTGAAAGCCGGATTATTTTTGGGATGTGGCGAAGGTTGCCACTCATGTTTATCTCTACCGACTAGTTATCATTTGTTGAAGGCAGGTGTCCAGCGCCTGATGGGTGATAGAGAGATTTTGTTTGAGAAGACTCCCATTCCGACTGTTTCTTGCAAGGATATTTCAATCATAACCATTTCCGCCAATCCTCCCAGGGTCTCCACCAAAAGACCCGTCAGGATTACATCTGCTCCGAAGGTGTCTCCTCTGATCATCACCATGCCAGGGTCAATCCCGTACTCCTCAGACAAAGCTGTTCCCTGGAACTATGGGGCTGACGTCTACTACCACGACGTCAAGCAAGACCTATTGGGTGTTGAAGACCAGGTTTCTGAAAATGTTGATCCCGACATTGGCAACATTGTCGGAACCATCAAAATAACAAGAAGTGGAAGAGTGCTCTCCCTTGAGATTTTTCTTCCAAAAGTTGTTACTAGTCATGTAATCATTCCTACTTTTGTTCCTGCTGATACTACTATCGCAATTCTTGTGAATACTTCTATTGCCACCCCTATCACCGAGTCGGCCGAGACTCGGGGCAAAGATATATTGATTGAACCTGTCCAAACAAAGGCACATTCAATATCTATCCTAGAGGCTTTCAAGAAGGAAATGGAAGAAATTTTTAAGATTATAAAGAAGAGCGACTACAATGTGGTCGAACAACTGGGGCAGACCCCTTCCAAGATTTCTATGCTGGCCTTACTGTTGTGCTCCGAAGCTCATGCAAAGGATTTGGTGAAGTTCCTTAAAACTGTCCATGTGCCACAAGAAACCTCTGCTGATCAGTTTGAATTGTGTGACCGGTTTGACAGCTGATAATAGTTTGGGTTTTTCTGATGCTGATCTGACACCCAGAGGGAGAAAACACAATGATGTGCTACATGTTTGCGTTGAATGCAGGGGCACTACTTTGGCCCATGTGCTAGTAGACACTGGTTCATCATTGAATGTGCTGCCTAAGAAAGCTCTGGACAGGTTAGACTGTGAAGGTTTGGCCCTGAAACCCAACAACATTGTAGTGAGGGCTTTCGATGGATCAAAGAGAATGGTGCACGGGGAGGTGGACATCCTCATCAAAGTTGGTTCTCAGACCTTTGACTCCACCTTCTACGTGATGGATATCAGACCATCTTATTCTTGTTTGTTGGATCGCCCTTAGATCCATGGGGCGGGAGTTGTCACATTTACTCTGCATCAGATGATGAAATACCTGGCAAAAGAAAAGATTGTCACAGTGCTTGGTGAAGAAGAGTACATGGTAAGCCATTTGAGTTCCTTCAGGTATGTGGAAATGGATGGCGAATTCATCGAGACTCCGTGTCAGAATTTCAAAGAACTCGACAATCCTTACAATATAATCAAGTTTAGCATCTTCATCCTAAAACAACACAGTTCAGAAAATCAACATCGTAAGAAAACCCCCAATCAACAAAACATATAAACTCTAAAACCCTAAATCTTCAATGTTGAATAATATTGAACATACCTTGAGACAAATAGCGACGTTGGTGGCGAAATACATAAGGTGGAACCGAATCGACAGGTGTAAGAGGAATAGTGAGAACGTTGTCCAGTAAAAATGGAGAGGATGAGGAACAATGAGCGGGAAAATGGTGAGGAAGAGCGAAATTGAGAGAGAAAGAAGGAAGATGAGAAAGAGAGAGAATATGAGGAAAATTATAATTCAATGTATTACATTATTCCTCTTGTACGTGTGACTTTTTCAGTTTAAAAGTTGTATTGAGTAGAAAAAAATCAATTATAAGTGTGTTTAGACCGATTTAACCTTGAAAGTTAGAATAAATAAACTTGGAATTAGAAGGGTATAGTTAGCTTTTTCAAAATATATTATGTTTTTATATGGTAGATATATTTTTCTTCTTTTTCAAAAATAAATTTTATAAAAATATTTTTTGAAATATTAAAAAAAATTATAAATTAAAAAATTAATTTTGAAATTCTATAGCTATGAAAATATATTTAAGAATTATAACTTTTCAAAAAGATGTTTCTTAAAAATAATTTTTATGAAAAATTATTTTAAATTATATTAAATTTAAATTATTTTTTAAAATTTTGATATTCAAAAAATTTATAATAAAATAATAAAATATCATTTTAAAAAGAATTATTTGAATATAGACAACCTAGCAACATCAATCATTAGTATAGTCTCTTATTTTATGTGAGTTATACCTTAAACAATCTCAAAATCACTATACGGGACTACTCGTCGCCATGAGCTAGTCCAAGGGTCAAGCAATCTAGAGTAGAGCTTTAGGTTTCAAAAGTTTGAACTTTAAAAAGTTCTCATAATTTTTTATTTAATTATAAAAATATATAATGGTATATTATTCACATATATTTTCATACTTGAGTTAATGTATCTCTTTTTGTTTTGGTCTTGAATTCAACTTTTAGCAACCACAAAATTATTATTTTAAATTTTTTATAAAACGCTAAATTTTATGCATCTCGTTGACATATTAAAAAATAATCTTCAACACCAGATTTGGAGTGTGTGGTTTTTGATAAAATGTGAAACTCATTTAATTTTTGAGGGGATGATGCTTATGAGGGAGACGAAGAATCATTGGACATAGGCTTACAATCTGTCTCAGAAAGGATGTCCAGTTTTTTAACACTTATAATGAAGGTATTGATGCCGCAGAGTGAAGATGAGTGTCAACTTGAATATGAGCAGGAAAAAGAAGAGTCTTGAACTAGATTACTTTGTGTTAAAGGCAATTACATTTCATTCTTCTTGTTTAATGTGTTCTTTAAGCTGCTGGGTTAATTTTGGTTGAGATGTACGTCAAGTTTGAAAGAATAGATTGACTTGTACACGTGAATAAAGTGAATTTTTATTTATTCAACTTTTGAGTAAAATTATCTTTGAGTAAAAAGTTTTAAAAACAAAAAAAAAAATTATATTAGTTGAAGATATAATATTCAATTTTTTGTGATGGTTAAAAAAGTTATCCCCTTAAATAATATGTTTGATTAAAACAAAATTTGATCATTCAAATTTTCTGTTGGGTTAGGTTTCACATTTTTAAGTATAAATTTTGAGTTAAATTGTTTGTGAAGTCAAATAAGAGTAAATTTGAAGATGAATTCAAGTAAAATAAGAGGTGAATATGCCTTGATTTTACTTCATTTTATCCAATTTGAAGAAATTTATCTATTTTTTAAAATAGTTTCAACTTAAGTTTGAAAACCTTGGGTGTGATAGAGGGAGAGAAACCGGTAAAACTAAAATTATTAAAATGTTACACACCCTTCTATAATTCCAATAACAAATTTTACAATCTATAATTCCAACATTCCTCCATGGAGGTTGTTGATTGGTTGAAAGAGATGTTGACAATAATTTGTGCCGTCTTCTTCTCTGTACCTTTAACTGTTACAGGCTTCAATAGAATCAAAACTAGTTGATTTGAATGTGACAACCTTGAATAGCGAAGATTTTAATTTGACTGTTGAATTAGTAAAATTTAATGATTAAAAAGAATTTAAGAGAATAACCATGACAAGAATCATTCCTTAACTAAAACTATTTTAGCTAGAATACATTATCTCAGTGGACGCAAGTGACATTGAACAAAGTACACAGTTATGAGTTGTAACTCATAGGCAGATGAGCATTCTGATTATCTGACACCATACCAGATTTCAACAATTTAACAGTTGAGAGACTGAATCCGGGTTTTGACAGGCTTCACTGCTTAAGATCGAATCCGACTATGATATCACTCAACCTTTAGCATTCATAAGAGGACGGGAACCTTTTGGATAAGAAATAATGTTTCATTTCTAGAATCAGCATAAAGAAGCCATAACATGGAATATGCATTAATGCCAGCATCAAGTACCTAAAGTTCACAAAGCACAAACAAAATGGATTAAGCTTATTGTTAATCCGAAATATTCAAAAGTGAGGAGAAAATGAGGACTAGGATATAGTCCAAGGTTCCCCGACATGAAAGCCGTGTTTTGCTAGCTAAGGTAATGGCCTCAAAATTGATTCTAAACCAAGTTTTCATTCTGTTTTTCATGATTCTTCACTTCCATGTTGCACTTAAAAAATCACCAGGATAAAACCTTGCATGGAAAGGAAAATCCCTTTTCTCACAATGCTTTAAGTTCCACAAGAGTTAAAATGTAGAGCATCGAGCAACATTTTTTCCACTTCATCGATTAATTTGAAAACTTAATAAAAACTAAATAATGAAATGGTTTACCAGAAGGGTGCATAAGGTGATGCCAAATCAAGAAATGGGTAAGGCCACCTGTAAGAACGAGAAGAGTCACCGTTGTTAGATAAACCATTGTGCTGAAAAATCTGACATGAATAAATATTGCATATGTTACCAAATTGAGACGCAAGCATGAATTATCCACTGAAAAATGACGTAAACACCTGTCCATAACACAAAGAAAGACATCCCAGACCAAGGTATTCGCTGAAAAGTGTAGGTTAAAAAAATTAACATTGGTTTTTGCAATTACTCTAAATGAGGATTCTAAAAAGTTCATGAAAACATTCACCATGCAATTTAAAACAGCATCGCTAAAGAGCAATACAAAATTTACTGTATGCATGTTCACTGTCATCTGCACAGGGAAGAAACAATGATGAGACAAAATCATTAGAACATGTAGTAGAAGTGAGGGGAGAAAAAAAAAAGAAGACACTCATAGAAATCAATTAAATCAAGACCATAATATGATATATCAAATGGATGAATCTACTTTATATGTAGTTAAATTTTAAATTTACAATACTGAGACGGAGGGCAATGTTGGGGGTAAAGTTGGGAAACACTTTGATTGATTATCCTCAAAGACGATATGGCAATATCCAATGTTACGAGTATCCTAATAATATTGATTATTCTTAGAATTCGGGCACATGTCTTGACTCATCCCTGGAAATTCAGTGAAGGTGAGGACTTCAAAGGTGGTTTCCCACTGCCATGAAGGCAAATAAACAATCTCACTAGCAGGATGGCTGCAATAAAGGCTAATTTTCCAACACACTCCGTTACGTTTAGGCCCAATGTTCCTAGAGCATGGACGATGAGGATAGCCCAACAAAAAACTATGATAGACTCTAAAACTATCTTAGAATTGGAGTTTTTTTTCCCAGGTCAACCACAAAAGTTAGATCAATGAGTAAGGGTTACTCATAATTTAAGATATAGGAATTACAATCTGTCATCCTGAAGAAAGAGAAAAAAATGTATCTTGAGGTAAGAATTCAAATTCATTTCAAATCAGATCATATATATTGAACCAATAACCTCATTTTGATGTTTCCAGTCAAAGCAGAACATATTAATCTGAGATTCACCAAAGATTGCCATAACATAGTGTGAAGCAAGAAATATAAGTATGAAAATATTTAAAGTTGCTACTCACAAAGTTGAAGTCATAATCTCTCAGGGTAAGGAATGGAAAAATAATGAGCCAATAAACGCAATCCGTAAACATGACGGCTCCTGCACTAATCTGTTTAAATACATAATGAAACATATCAAGTTCAAGGTACAGTAATGCAATTATGCAATCTTGTAAACATTAATTCAAGGTACAATAAAAAGCTTAAACGACCAAAGATTAGGAACGCACGGAGTAGTTATTGTGCACATGGAATTCACATAAGATTAAAAACACGACAAAAGCATGCAGTTGAAGGAGCTAAGAAAATGCAAGATGCAAAACATAAAAGGAAAAAGAAGAATATCACACTTAAAAAGAGAACAATAATGTATAGAACACTCATAAATGTAAGGGAAAGCAAATAACTCAATTTTAACATACATTAAGCCCAAGTTTGTCTTTTTCTATTCAATACTTGTTGATACCTGGAATAAAATATGAAAAATGTAACTCCAAATGGGTGCAATTTGATTCTTTTGTATGTTAATGTGAGGATCCGCTAGGCGTTCCGTTCTAGATACATTTGTGGCATTGGGGTATAAGAGAGGCAATTCTGGACCTTGCTCTGCATCTATTCTAGTAATATCATCATTAATATTTGCGTCTCTTGATTTTCTACACGTATAACACCCGTAAACTGATAGCATAGATCCACACTACAAAAAGAAAGTTCAAATCAAACTGTGAGACATAAATAAAACGTCAGAAGTTAAAATTCTTGTTGACCTTTACAAGAGTTCCAAGGAGAATCAAGAGTCACACCCCAAAATAAATGGTAACCAGAGTGAAGGTCCACCTGGAAGAAATCCAAAATACAACACTTTACAATCACAATCTATGGATCAAATAGCAAAGAAATCCAAACTACTCACTGAGTATAATAGTAAAATGTTACGCCACGGCTGGCATAAAGTTTCACAATTAGCGACGCCAAAAGATAAGTAAACGAAACAACTCGAAAAGCTAGCAAACAAGCAGGGTGAATGTTTTTAAGGCATGGCTTCCATGCTTCATCACCACACAAATCTCTATCTTGTTGGTTTTCTTGTTTGTCAAATGTGAGGTTCCGCGAACTCTCACGCTTCCATATCGTAAAACATGCAAGAACCATACATAGCGAAACAGAAAATACACATAGATAAACCCTCCAATTTAACCAATAACTGAGTTTGGTAGAATCGGTTGTGTCGCTCAATTGCATCATCCTGGTTAAAAAAACAAGGTTGAAGATTTTACTATATCATACGTAAATACTATCAAATTATTCTACTTCTGGTAAGATTTTTAAATAATCAACAAAAACCCTAATTCAGTTATTTCCACCGACAAATAAACAGAATTAAAACAAAAACTACACAATAATGCAAACTTGAATGGTGATTGAAGATTGGTGGAAACATACGCTAAGGGGGAATGTGAGCGATGAAGAAACTGGAAATGGCGCGTTCGGGATATTTCTCTTTTGGGAAATAAATTAAATGAAAAAAAAAGAGAAAATAGAGAGTGGTTTTTGTTGAATGAAGCGGTTACAGGTTTGTCATCAGTGTCATGAATCTGTCACCTGGAAGAAAAATGTGTTGTCAAAGTATAAAAAAATAATGGAAGAAAAGAAATGTGCGATTTTAAAAGATATTTTCTATTGGGTGTGAAATTATGAAAATTATTGATCGAAGTTTGCGTTGATGCTTGTTGGGGATGCCTAGAGTGATGAACACGTAATGTTTTACTCATGGTTGGAATATGGTGGCACGTGGAAATTTATTGACATGCAATGCCATTCCATGTATTGAAAATTCAAAAAAAAAAATTGTGTGTTTTTTAGAGATACATCTTTTGTCACTCTTGCGTACGAAGATATTCTATTTTTATTAAATATTGCTTCGGAGATACATCCGTGAAAATTTTAAAGTGATTTTGGAGATGTATTTCTGAAAATGTCTATTTCAGATATATATTTTCAAAAATTTACTTGCATGCATCTTTGACATAAATATTATTTTAAATTTATATTTATTTTAATTTAAAGTCATTTTAATTCAATTAACAATAATATAATTTGATTCAAACATTAATAAAAACATATATTATAGAATAAAATAATGCATTAATTAAAAAAAAAACATCTCATAATAGAATAAGGTAGTGTATGTCTCTAACAACTATCTATTTCAAATGTGAATAATATTTAATACATTTAAAACAAATTATTTTACCTAATATACATTAACACTACTACAAAAACTATATTTCTTAACGCTATCGAATTTTATTTCACCACAATCTAAGAATTCACCGTGGTAGGATCTATTCAATTAGGCGCTTTCCTTTTATTTTTATTTTTAAGCTTATTTTTCACCATGATTGGAACTTCCAACCGTGGTGAAAAGTGACGCATGATCATGAGTTTGAATCTTGTTGTTGTTATTGTTCTAATGTTGTATTTTTTATATTTTATTAAAATACATACAACGACGATTATTAAATACAATTGTTATTGTATGTAGCGCATGGTCATGAGTTCGAATCTTGTTGTTGTTGTTTTATTGTTGCATTTTTATATTTTATTGAAATAACATACAACAACGGTTGTTTAATACAATCGTTGTTGTACGTATGTGTTTATTGAGTTTATTCACCGTCCTTAAACAAATATTGGTCGTCCATTTAGTAATTATCAACACTCAAGACACTACCATTAGTGATCCGCCTGAAACCTAAAACTTAGACGAACTTCCAACTTAGACGATCTTCATCTTCTACCTCCAAACATCATCTTTCATTTATGAAACACAATTTCTCAACTAAACCAAGCATGAAAATATCATTTCTTCCATAAACAAAACTCGAAAACATCATATCTTTCATTAGCAGATTTCAGAACTCCATCATCTCTTCTCCAACTTGAATGAGACAAGGAAAGTATGAATTTAAGTTATCAATGTTAGTTGTTGTTCTTGTTCTTGTTGTTCTTTTTTTTTGTTATTGTTGTTGATCGTTCCTTACCAAAATGGATCGTCGATGGCCCACAAGCTTGAACTGAACAACGGTTAAAAGTGAAGTGGGGGTACCTGCAAGACACTCTGATGCTAAAGTAAGGTTTAGAGTAAATGCAAGTAAAGAGTGAGAGAGTGAACAAATAATGTACCTGACCCTATAGTGAGAAAGGATATTTATAGTCCCCAGTGATGGGCCAAGGTTCCCATTTGGGCTGGATGCCCAAGCCCAAAATGGAGACTATCATGATTCTACGTGGATAGAGGAGACCAGTTCATGATCTCTATTCTGGTTCAATTGCTCTGTGATTCTTGGAGGGTGAAGACCCGTTCTTTTTGGGAGCAAGATGACTCTACAATAGTCGGAGGATCGATGGCTGCGTACCGTTGGCGGGCATGCACATTCTGAGGAGTAGGTCCCCGACAGACACAGTTAGGAGAGGTTCCCCGTGTACATGTGCTAAGGAGTATGTCCCCGACGGACATACTGATGAGACATTTTTGACGTGCACTTGCTAAGGAGCAGGTCGTCATCGGGCACGTGTAGGAGACATTCCACAACTGTTATAGGAATATGGGCTTGCCCGACTAGGGACCAAGTGCATGCCTGGCCGCCAACAGGTTATTGGGCCTCTAGTAGCACTGGACTGGACCTAGCCGGAGAGTAGATTAAGTGTCGGCCCAGTTCATAATAGGAGCCCCCAAGTCGTTGCTCCTAAGTAGATGAGTTATGACTTTAGGTCAGCTCGAGTGTCGAGGATCTTCGTGGCTTCCCTTGAGTCTTCATCATCGACCCGCGTACGGGGAATGATTGCTCGGGCATTGACTTTCATTCCAACATACGTAGAGGGGGGAACATGTCCGTCCAGATTAACAATCTTCCTCGCAGAAGGGAATGTGAGGTATATGCCATGGTTGAAAGTAGCGGTACACTCGCGGAGGAGGAAATTTTTCTCGCTAGTCATCTGGGAGTCAGAGAGTCTCGATTGGTGTTCACTAACTGGGCCATATGTCACATTATTTAATGTGTAATGATGGCATAGGTGTATGGGTCATTATGATCTAGGCGCGTGGCCGACTGCGTGTCGAGGTGACGTTTCGTCTTTCGTGCAAGGTTTATAAATGGGGATTTAAGGATTCATTTATTACTTTCACAATCCTTGCTCTCCCTCTCGCTTCTCTTTCTTTGATCCATATCTAGCCATCATCGTCGTCGTAGTCGCTGCTATAGTCACCGCCACACTCACTAGAATGAACCCTCAGCCAAGTAAGTGCCTTCCCTTTTTCCATGATCCATTTAATCTTCGCAGCATGCATGTTCTTATACGAATTTCGCATTCTGGGTAGGTTCTCCCCGCGACATTCATAGATTTTACTATTTTTCCCTATGGGATTCATGTGTTCCCCACGAAATTTGTGTTTTTTCTCGCGATATTCATGTTTCTCTTCGGGAGATTCATGCGTTCCCTGGGAGATTCATGATTTCCCTAGAAACATTCATGCTTTCTCCTTGGGAGATTCATGTGTTCCCCGAAGGAAACATGAATTCGTCGTGTGATTTATAAGTCAGGGAAGATTTTTCCGTGTGTGAAGTCTTTGCCTTTGCTTGTCCAACCGATTTTGATCGCGCCTTGGCCCAGGGGTGGTTTTGATTTCCTTTCGAGAGATCGAGCAGGGGCTTGGTCGGGGATTGTATCCTCATCCCATGGTGCTCCCTTTCACTTGACTTGTGGTGAAAGGATGGATTTGATTTGACTATCGAATTCACGTTATTCATTTGCTTTTCAGATGGGATAGACGATCTTATCACGGATGTTCATATGGTCGAACATATCGAGGAGGACCAAATGACTAAACATGTGGAGGATGTTCGGATAGTCGATTCGATCACTGATCCCTAACGGACCTGGGTTTCTCCTGAGCCTCGGGGCATCGCCTCTCACTATTCCGTATCTTTGGATGGTGTATTTTTCACCATCAAGGACATGCCCGATGATCCCGATGCTGAGAGACATTGGAAAGTCGTTAAACTTGCTGCAAGCAAAAGGATATGCTCGTTTTACATGAACAAATGAATCCCAATGTGAAATTCTGGTATTCAGATCACATATGTCCTAAAAGATGTCGAGACACCTTTTTATGAACAAGCAAGCAATGACAAGATGAACGATAATCGAAGTGCATAAAAGTAAAGAACACACATGATTATTAACCCAATTCGGTGTAAACCAACACCTACTTTAAGGGCTACCAAGCCATGGATCAAGTTAACTACTAATAGTATTAATTCAAATATAAAATCCCCATTTACAATGTCTCACTTAATCACTACCCTTGCTTAACTTCTACCTAAGACTCACCTAGGTATGAGATCCTTCTCAAATTCCTTCCAATCACAAACCAGTGACTGAACAATTCTAAACACTTAGAAAGTCACAAAAGTCACACTTCAAAGATACATAATCATTCACTGCTTACAAGCTTTGGAATGATTGACATAACTTACAACAAAAACAAAGTCATACTCTTTTATCAACATGATAATCGAGAGGCTCACAATAAACACACAAACCCTAATTAAGATACAGTGTAATTTCGTAAAAACAACTAGGATTGAAGCCTTCTATTTATAATCTTCATTGAACTGGATTTAGGCTTCACAAATCCCAGTTGGATAAAAACATGTGCTGCAGAATTATCTCCTCAAAGATAGGACATCAATCATTAGTTTTCTAAATTATCTCTATAATTAGTAACTAACAATTCTCCTTGAAATCAGCTTGAATCTTCTTCAATATTCAAACTGAGCGCCACATAGGATAGTACAATAATCACATGATATTATACACTTGTAATAGACTGGAATATCCAATAATCCAACTGTACACAACCACGACGTCGAAAGATAAATTATAGGATATAACATAAGACATGTTGCTTTAGTACATACAACATCTTTATTTAACATGTCAAAGCTAAGTTAGTTTTACCAAACATAATGCCAATCACAGTAAAACAAAGAAATAACAATCTCCCCCCTTTGGCTTATTTTGGCTAAAACAACTTAGCACATCTTCCCACATAAACAGCTACAACATTTGAAAAAATCAAGAATCCAATCAATCAGAGGCACAACAATGAAAGAAAGAATAACAAATATTAGAGCTATAGTCGGTGGAAACTTCTTCAACACAAAGAACCAGAGAATATC